GGCTAAATTTCTTTGGATATTGTCTTTATTAGATATTATGAGCTATTTATTTTTCTTGGATTGCAATTAAACTCACATGTAATCTAAATATCTTTCTTGCTTATTTTCAATGGGATTTGAATTGTTTATTCTAATTTATTTTTAATGTTTTTAATTGCCTGGTCACCAATTAAATTGATCTAGGAACCTAAACAAACTTGAGAAAGGAAGTTTAGTATAGACTAAAATTAGGATAGTATATGATCATATTAATTGATTTGCGTATAGGATAGGGATATGCCTATAGACTATATGTAGCCAGATTAGAGCCTGAACTTAATGAATCTGTTTTAATTTCAATTCACATAGGATAGAGTGTTTTGGTTTAAAATCAGATAATTTTTATTAAGATGCAGTCGGGAGACCCTTATAAATAATTTAGGACTCTAGGTTAGCAATTCTACCCATTGAAATAAGTTAAGAAAGAGAGGCAAGATTCAGATGAAGTGTGAGGGATATTGTAATCCTAGGTTTGTTTGATTTGTTGTTTGCCCAATTATCTTGTGCTTTAATTTGTAATTAAATTAGTTTTAGTTGCGTATTTTTAGTTCAATTAGAATTAAGATTTTAATTGTTATGAATTAAAACTAAATTGTTCTAATTTTAGTACTTAGTAAAATTTTAGATCAATTTCCCGTGGCATCGATACTTTGCTTGCTAATATACTATCTATTCGATAGGTATACTTGCGTAGTAGAATTTTAACTGACATTAACTGAGGCTTAAATTAGTTCAATTGTTGTAGATATAGGTTTCCCTCTGTTCTGGGAAAGCTTTGTTATGTGATTTAATGCAAATGTAAATTAAAAAAAATAGCTACAACGGAATCAATTGTGGCTGTGATGCCTCATTAAGCCTGTTGCTTTCCGCATCCATGTTATTTTGTTGCCACAACACACTACTAAGCACATGAATGCCATTGACACTGTAGTTGTGGTGGGTAATGGTGGCAAATGATTGTTGAAACGAGGAATCATGGTTGCTACTTGTCAATTAAAATTCTATTACGTAAGTATACTTATCGAATAGATAGTATATAAGCAAGTAGAGCATTGATCTCATAGAAAATTGATCTAAAATTTTACTAAATACTAAAATTATAATAATTTAATATTATCCAAACAATCAAAATTAACTAATTAATTAAAACTCATTAACTAAAATTTAAATTAAGAAGACAAGTCAAAGTAACAATAATTTCAGTAAAGATCAAATCAAACAAGCCTAGAATTATAATATCCCTCACGCTTCATCTAAATCTTAATTCTCTTCCTCAATTTATTTCAATGGTTGAATTGCTAACCTAGAGTCCTTAATTATTTATAAAGGTTTTTCGACTCATCTTATAAAAATATCTATTTTAACCAAAACACACCCCTTGTGAATTGAAATTAAAACGGACTCATTAAGTTCAAGCTCTAATTTGGCTATATAAGGCCTATAGATATATCCTTATCCTATACGCAAATCAATTAATACAATCATATGCTATCTCAATTTTAGTCTAAACTAAACTGCCTTTTCCAAGTTTGTTTAGTTTTCCAAATCAATTTAATAAGTGATCAAGCAATTAAAAGCATTTAGAACAATTAGAATAAACAATTCGAATCCCATTAAAGATAAACAAGAAAGAGATTAAAAGTTTAGATTACATATGTGTTTAATCACAATCCTAGAAAAATAAATTTAGCTCATGATATCCCATAAAAACTTCATCCAAAGAAAATTAACCATTAATCCAAGTCAAAGAAAATAAAAAAAAAACATAAAAATAAAGAGAGAAAACTAATAGTTGGAGCTTTATAATCTTGATTCTCTCTCCAATTCTTTTATTTTCTTGCTTTGTTCTTGGCTCTAAATCTCCAGAATAGTTGCTTGTTCCTTCCCCTTCAAAACCTTTGAAAAAGGACCCTTAAATAGACTCTAAGTAACCTAATTTCTAAAATCCCGTCAAATTTTTATTTTTGGAATATCGCCTAGTGTCGTGGCCTTGATTCTTAGCGCTATAGCACTAGTTTTGCTACAGTAGTGCCGTATCACTATTTTCTAGCATTGCAGCACTCAGCTCTTTGGAAAATTATATGGTGAGCTTCTTTTCACTAATGTTACAGCCTTGTTCTCTCAATGTTGCAGCAGTCTATCAATTTCAAACGTGATTTTGACTATGATCTGCTTTAAACTGAGAAACATGGTGAACACAAAAGAAGCATCTATCTCTTAACTTTCTAATGGCTTAAGAATCATGTCAATTGGACTCCAAATACCACATCATGTTCAATCCATAAATATTGCATCAATGCTCTGACTTAGACAAATATTTTGACCATGATTCGATTAGAACTAGACAAATTGGTAAACATAAACATTGTAGCCCTTTTTCTTAGAATTGTAGTAATATAAGAATCCTCATTTGGAGTTTTGTAGATAGAGATATAGTCAAAATACCAAA